GGTTTTTTGAGTCTGCTTTCTCTTTCTGTATCTGTTGTTTAGATAGATATAAAAGATCTGATCAAACACGCAATTGCACCATCACTCAACTTTGCTTCCGTCTAAAGTGGACGGCAACTCTTCAAAATTATTTTTAAAATTTTACTTAACAAATTAATACGAAGCTTAAGATTTATTTATATTTATATTTGTGGAACTTATTAATACTACCTTGATTCATTTGATAGATGGGATTTGGTTAAAAAATTGGTATGCACATCTTTACTCATCTTTCTTATCTCCCCCTTTTCATTTTTTCTTTGGGCATTATCAGATAGAGTGATACACAAAAAAAAAAATAGGATTTAATAATAAGATGGAAACTACATAACTTTGATGTGTTGATGCTGACTAAAAAATGTGATAGTGCTAATTAAGTATTCCTTTAATTAATTTGACGTTTAATTTTCACAGTATTTTTTTAAAACTCGTGTAATATTTCATTTTAAACTTCGGCCCAAAAATAGTACTTATTATTTGGGGGTAAGATATTAGGGCATGAATTGGGGGATTGCATCTGATTTGAATAGACATCATTTATAGAGAAGAGGGAGAGAGGCGCGAGTCAGGAAATATTGTTGGGCGGAAAAATAAAATTCAATACTTACTGTAGACTATTAGATCAAATTTTTTGAAATGATTTGAACTGTCTTTTATGTTGGGATTACGTTGTCTGTTAGATGTATTTATGTTTTGTTTCAAAACGGTCTGAATCTTTTTTTGTCTCCAAAATTCAAACTCAACTCTACTTTATTATATAGATAATCAAACAATTTGTTAAATTTTTTGACCAAAGTAATCACATGTCATTTTTTCAGACAAGATCACGTGTCCAATGAATGATCATTCCGTTCAAAAATTAACGGTCCATCTATATAGAGATTATTTTGACACAAATTGAATATTTTAGAGATCAAATTGATTAAATTGATATTTTATGGACCAAATTAACAAAAAAATACAAACTTTAAGGATAAAAAAATACTATTAACCCTTCTAAGAATAATATACTTAAATGTCAATATTATGTTGGTAACATAAAACTTAATTGTAGGAATTGCACTGTAATCCTGAAAATTGTTCCACGTTAGTGTACAATAATACTTTTCCTAAAAATAACATTTTATACCTACTAGCTATTTGGAAAGGTGTGCACTAAAAATTTCATAAATTTGTTTTCAAAATATAATAAAACTGCTCAAAATTACATGCCTGTTGCACCTATGGAAACAATACTTAAATATTTGAAGGTAATCAAATAGTCTACTTCTAGTATTTTAACTATGCAAAAATTAGAATACTAAACTCAAATTTTTATTCAAATTAAAAGAGACTCGAACTTTTACTCAAATTACTAATATTTAGATTATATTTTTCTTTAAAAATCTAATGTTTATATTTTTCTTTAAAAATCTAATGTTTATATTTCAACCCCTTTTAAATTTGAGTGTGCCATCTTTTAAATTTAATTTTATCATACTTTGAATTTGAGTTTATTTATTAGAGTCATTTGTATTGAATCAAAATTTTTACTTAAACATTAACTCAATTTTGGATACAAAATTAATTCAAGGTTGAAGATGTTCTATGAAAGACGAGTACTACTACATGGCTTAAATGAAATCCAAAATTTTACAAACCAAATGTATATCATCCCTATGATCAGTGAGTCTCATTAATTTTTTTAGGAGTAATACTATTTGGGCTTAAAAATTTGACATAATTTGCTGACATAACTGAAATTATTGGATCAACACCAAGTTCTAATGTTTGATGGGTCTTACAGTTAATCAAAAGGTTATAGTGAATTAAGTCAGCAAATTAGGTCAATAAATTAGGTCTCAATAGCATTGCTCTTTTTTCAGTAGGACTCACTAATCCAATGAATGATATGCATTTAAATTGTAATTTTTTTGTTTCATTTAAATTATGTAACATTTTTCACGAGATTTATTAGTCAAAAAAAGTATTTGGCCAGTATACTATTGGAGTATATCAATTACTGAGTAAAAATTAGATGTAATAGTTATACCACGTCATCATGGTGACTTGATATGTGAGATCCCAAATTTTTGAAAGTACTTTAAGAATAAAATATTAAGAGTTTTGATGCAAAAGTATAAGAAATATTTAAGTTTTGTGGTTGATATATATAATAAGTGAAACAATGGGAAACAGAGAGCTAACCGAAAGTAAGAGGAATGAAACGGAAAGTAAAGTTATCGAATTCAAATAATGATTTTGAGGTATGAGGTGATATGCAATATGATCTCCTTAAATCTCTTTGCAAAGAGTATTTATTTGATTATCCTCTAATTTGTATTCCAACTTATGTTATTGTTATTTTAGAATTTCGATTAAATATCGTTGAATATTTTGATCTCATTGATCATGTTCTGCGGATATTGAGACGGGATCATGATAGTCAATAGCTGATGCATTACCAGCCAAAAAACCCGTAAGATCGGGTTGCGGTGGGATGATTGGTGAGGTGTCAGATTTGTGTTAAAATCATGCATGACGTGTGATATGCAAATATGATATTTGTATCTATTGATTGAGATATTCGATTATTTAGTATTCAATGTCTTTGAGCATACTTTTTCTTGTCATATTGTATATTTTTCCGTTTTATTTAATACTTTTACTTTGATTTTAGAGAAAAGATTGAAACGAAATAATCAGAGTATTAAAGACGAGAAGATGTCGATGTAATTGATGTTTTAATAATATTGGGAACTTTATTCATATTGACAGATATATTTGTATTGGGAGATGATTTTGATAAATAAAATTTTATTGGGACAATTAGTACTCTGTTTTTTTTATTTGAGCGTTTTTATATCAATTAACGTCTTCAAAAAGAAGAAAAAATTAGTGTGTTACATGATATACTCGTTCAATCATAAGTCAACATGTGAGATTCATTTATCCACATAATTAAATAATTACTCATCTATGTTATGCAATGACTATTCCATAAACAACGTTATACGTACCAAATTTTGTATCCTAAATTAACATAGGTAATTGGATCAGTAGGGTCTACTAACTCTACTAAACATTCAACATATAAAATTTTAACACATCATTTAAGATACAAAATTTGATAAACAAATTTGGACAATATAGTTTTATCCCTATCCCATATGTCATGTAATAACTATACCATATGAAATTCACTCGTCTACATATTAACTTATGATTGAATGATTATACCAAGTTATCGTGATAACGTGATATAACTGTTACACCTGATATTTTTCTCTCAATTACCATACTTTGGGGGTCTTGATAACATTTCTCCCCATTTTTTTTTCTTTCTTATTTATGGGGTATGGCTCGTCTGCGATTGGAAAGTTACTGCATAACATGTGGTTTAATGAAACGTCGGCGTTTCACTCTGCTTTTTGCTTCTTTTTTTTTTATTTCCTCTTACCAAAACGACGTCGTTTTGATCTTTTAAATCAGCATCAAACCCCCTCCCTTTTCGTTCTCCCGCTTATTCTTCGTCGGGTCCGGTTCTCCCGCCTTGAGCTCGCCGAAAAAGTCCTCAATTCCGGCTGCTGGAATGTGTACAAGAACTTACAGTTAGCAAGAAAGATGGAGAAGCTTGAAAAGAATATTTCAAGGTTCTTGCAAACTACTGTGCAAGCTCATGTGCATCATCTTAGGTTCGATTCGCACGGAGAGGTTTGATCGGCTTGAGGTTTCGGCTCAGAGGTTGGAACAGCGGCTTGGAGTGATGAAGATGGGGGTTTATAAGGGAGGGTGGTTGGAGGAGGCGGTGAAGAGGGCGAAGGAAGAAGAGAGGTGGTACGAGGGTGGTTTGGTAAATTTGGGTGTGGGGGCATGGATGGAGATGACAAAGAGGAAGGTGAAAGAGATGGTGATTAGGAGGGACGATTTGGGTGTTGTTGGGATTTGTGGGATTAGTGGAAGTGGAAAGACCACTTTGGCCAAGGAGATTTGTAGAGACAATCAAATTCGCAATAAGTATTTCCATATCAATTAAGGCTAAGGCTAAAGATTTGGAGAATGATATTAGGGAATTGTATTGATGATTGCAGTGGTTTGATTCCCCAATGGCCACTAAAATATGATTTGAAGACCGTTATGCGAACACTTGTTGTTCTTGATGATGTTTGGTCTCTCTTAGTGGTTGAACAACTTATTTCCAGATTTCCCGGATGCAAAACGCTCACAAAATCATTAACCCAACATAGCAACACAAACCATATCAATACGGCTTACTGTTTGAGATTATTAGATCGTAGTCAGTCATAAAGAGAGAACCTTGCTGCTTGTTATATCCCAACGTAGTAAGATGTTTACAATTTAGGTCAGACCATTTGCCCACTAGCATTTCTCAAACCATTTGTAGTCACCATATCTAGTGTGATTCAAATACACGTGGGATACAGAAAAAAAGAAACATAAGGCAGCAATTCTAATTTATTTAATCTTCCATGAAAGGTGCAATCAAGAACTCCCCTTTGGAAGATAGACTCAAAATTACAGTTATTCCACAGAACATTAAAAGAACAAAAGTAAACGATGATAAACCAAACTCTAAATGCAATTAGAACCTGTACCGCTCATCAGAAAAATGCAATAATTGTCTGAACAAAAACATCGGTCCAATGTCTAATTTCTTAAAAATTCTAAAATCGTAATGACAGAAGCCAAAGTCTGATTCCAAGACTTAGTAAACATGTATCAAAATTAGCGTTGAAAGGACCATGGCTAGCTTAACTCTCGGTTTGCTCCCCCAGCCTCCGAATTGTGGTCCTAACTGTAACAACACTAGCAGTGCTATTGCAGTTGAAAAAGAAGAGAAACAAAACAAAAAATTAGTAGCTAGCAATGCTATTGCATTGAAAAAAAACAAGAGAAACAAAACAATGCATTAGTAGTTCACAAGAGAAGCGGTGGGAATAAGACCAAATCTTATAGGATCATTACTTCAATGTGTAAGCACCGCTTGCTTTGACTTTGCCACAATCCTTGCAGCCCCAAATACCCACTGCCTTTCTCTTCACCGCATACTGCAAACAATTACATTTTCAATTAGAACAAGAGACATGCCCTTAAAAAAGGTAAGTGATGCACAATTGCCTAAAACTAAGCAAAACAAGGCAAAAATGCTCAGACACCTTGGCAGCAGCCACAACCCCTTCTAAAAGAGGAAATTTTTTTTTTTTGGGGGGGTACTTAATCTCACGACTGAGGATGTGGAATTGTGGATGCAGCCAGAAATGTCTAAGAAAAGGCCTTACACAACAAAAATATTTGTGAACTTGGTAGTCCAACTTGTTGAAACTAAGAAAGGTTGTACCTTCCCACAAAATTCACAGAAGTACTTGCAGTGCTGACTGACTTCCATCTTCTTAATCTGCTTTCGCAAACTAGCCCCATAACGGGTTCCTGAAAATGGTGGCAATCAGCAAAGTGAAACCCCTAAAGTGCAAGATACAATTTGATCATCGTAATAGAACTAAGGACATATCATAAGAAGTACATGCATTTTGAAATTCCCATAACAGGAAACTAGATAAATTAAAATCGCAATGAGTTGCATATATGATATAACACAAGAAACATGTACTAAAACAAGTAATTAGCGAGAATGTTTGCATATAATGTACAAGAAACATGTATCATAAGAAGTCAGATTCCTTTTGGAATACTAGCGAGAATGTTTTATAATTGAACTAAAACAAGTAATGAACTGAACCCTTAAAGTTGAAATTGAGCTACTTAGGCATTTCTAAAGTCATAAAACTTTTATCTGTGAACCTCAATTTCCATGAACTGTTTTAAGGATCTCAATCTATCATGATCCTAATTAAGCCCAATACTCAACAATACTGCACATTAATATTGCAAGAGCAATGCAACTCAAAATAATGAGATAAAATTGTACAAGAACTTTATGCCTTGGACTATTTTAAGACTAAGTGTCACCGTTCTATCTGACAATTAATATCTTTAATGGAGTCAAACTTCAAATTTTCATACATATTGACAGAAGAGACAAATTTTAAACGATATTCAACATCAAAATTACATTTCTCATCCTCATAAGCAACATTTTCTTCAAATTGGGATGGGTTGGTCTGGGCAGATGCATCAATCTTGAAGCACGATTGTTAAGTGAATACACGGATGGTCAAATCACAAAACAAAATTAAATAGGCAACATTGAAACTTACCAAACTTCCCTACAATACCAGCCTTCTTCATCTTCTTGGTCTACATCAAAGCAAATGGGCATTACCATAAGAGTTCATGTTCAATCAATCCAAATATAATGAGAAAAATAAATCTCTACAGAAGCTAAATACAACAGATGGAAAAGACTACTATGAATGACTAGCAGAGAATCTGAACAATTCACAATAAACTCCGTTGTCCCCCCAGAGGTTGTGAGGACAACCGCATTTCAGGAAAATTTCCTCTGCAATAGAGAACATCCTTATTTAAATTTATATCGACAGAGGGTCTGGCTCGTCTGCGGTTGGGGAGTTACCGCATAACATGCGGTTTAATGAAACGGCTACGTTTCACTGTCCTTTTTGCTTTTTTCTTTTTACTGACCCTTACCAAAACGACGTCGTTTTGGTCCAGCTAAAAATCAGATTTGAGACCTTTCTCCTACCTTCAGCTTCATCTCAGGCACTCCTCTTTCTCTTCTCCTACCTCTGGCGACAAAAAAGCTCTTGTATAGGTTCCCTCAGGTGGGGCTCCTCTGCTGTTAGTGGTCTAACAGCACAGTGTGCTGTTAAGTGGAACGATGTCGTTCCAAGCAAAAGTAAAGAACCCAGCAGTCTCTCCAACAACGATGTCGTCTCAGGCCCTAAAACAAAATTGATTTTCATCTAGCTTGCCCCAAATGAACAACCCTTCAGTCGTCTTCTTCTCAGGCAAGAACTATTGTCTTCCTCATTCTGATTCTTGCTTGAATCATAATTGTCTTCAAGCAATCTATCAACCACAATTATCTTTGAGCAATCTGTCGACAATAATCATGTTAGAGAAATCGAAGCCCTAACATCAATGTAAATTTTAAAATTTGAATAGTATATCTTCGAGCAATCATTCTCTCAAATTTTAATAAATTATGAACCTTTCTCATGAGTGATCTGACGGCCACAATAACAATAACTCTTTTTTTTTGGGTAAATCTTATGGGGAATTTGAAAGCTGCATCCAAGCTATGGATGTACATTTTTTTTTAATTTTGTTCATAATTCGTGTGATTGACTGGTGATTCAAGATATGATGTTAATCCCAACAGAAAAAAAGGGGATATGTGGTTTGCTTGTTTTGATAATGTAGTCGACGGTTACTAGTTTTGGTAGGTGAAGGTATATGACCCACCCTTTGCAAGCATGGCCTGAAGTCAAATTTCACTGCCTACCTTAGTAGCTTCCTATTCCGAGCAATGGAAACTAAATTCACTACATGTTTAATGAATTCACTGCATGTTAATGTGATTGAGAACATATATATCAATGATATGTGTATAATCAAATGAACCAATTTACAAGGAAGCTCACTGGGATTACCCTAACATCAATGTAAGTTTTGAAATTTGAAAAGTATATCTTCGAGCAATCATTTTCTCAAATTTTAATAAATTATGAACTTTTCTCATGAGTGATTATATAATCCAAATATAAGCTAACACGAAAATGGTTTTTATTGCTTGTGAATTGTACTAATTATTCAATACACAACTAATAGAAAGTCATGGAACTTACCTTCCAAAAACTCATGGAATGCTCTGCATTGTTGTTGTTCAGTACTGCTGGGATGCTCTGCAATGCTGTTGTTCAGTACTGCTGTGATGCTATGATTTTGAGAATGAACAGTGCTGGGGTCTATAAATTTCATAACATGTTGACTGATAAAAAGTTAATGTTTTTTGGATAAAAAGTTCATGTTGATTGATGAACAGAGCTGGGGTCTATAAATTTCAATTAAAAAGTTCATCAGTTAGGACCCCAACAGCTCAAGTACATGATTGTCCTGAGTGACTCTTCAGCTTGTTTGAGCTGCTTGTCAGTTAAAAAGTTATAAAGAATGTATTGCTGGGATTTTTGGTACCAACTTATACTAACATTTTTATTTTTTGTTTGTAGTGTCAAAGAATGGCATTGGTGAATGAAGCTTATTTGCATGGTTGGATCCTCCTTATCCTTAAGAGTTGAATAATGAACATAATGGTGGTGGAGCTGCTTTGTGATCAAAGGGCATGGGTCTGATGTATGGAGGCAAGGCTTTCCAGCTGGGCAGAGAGAATGATGCTTAGAGTAGCATAAAATGGCTTGAGTCTTTTTAAAGGATTAAAGCCATTTCTTTAAACTCTTGTTCATTGATTCTTTGTAATTTTCCCACTCTTTGGTTCTTGTAACCTCCTGAATTCATGGAATAAAATTTCTCTTAATGGAACTAGTTTGATGTATTGATGTATTGGTTGAAGATGGTTCATGATATGAGTGAATGTGTATTGGTTGGTTAAACATGGTGCTTTGGTGTATTGGTTGAACATGATTCAGCTAATGAATGAATGTGCATTGGTTGTTTGAACATTATGCATGTTGCATGTCTAAGATAACAACTATACATTGAACAACATGAATTATACATAGGTGAGATCAATTCCATGAAAAAAAACAAAAATGTGATCATGTATACAGGCGTTTTCAAAGGGATGACATATCTACTAAAACAAGAAAATAGAAGATACACCATCCCCATAACAAAAGAATACATTGTAAGTTCACATTTCAAATAGATCAAAAAGAAATTGTCAAGATCAATTGCAGCAACATCCAACATTGCAGCGACATCATTACAACAAGACCAATTGCAGCAACAAACCACAAACAGTCAGCCCCCAATCAACAAGTACCAAAGATAACAACATTGCAGCACCACCCAACATTGCAGCAACATCATTATAGCAAGATCAATTGCAGCAACAAACCACAAACAGTCAGCCCCCAATCAGCAAGTAGTCCAATATAATAACTATTCATTGTCCACCTCGATTCTCCTCATTAGAATAATCAACGACGTTGTCCAAGAAGCATGATTCAACATTTACCCGAGCATTTTGAGAACCAATTGATGCTTGAGAATTTGATGTTTGAGAAGACATGCTTGAGATTAGATTTGAGTGGCTATAAGTTGATGCCCATGAGTAGGTAAATCCATTCATATGTGAATTATGCTCATCCGATTGAGATACCTTCAAAATAAGCATTCAAAGACGTAAGACACAATTAAAAAAAAATAAGAATCCAAAACATCAATACCTTAGACAACCACTGGTAACAGGCTTCTTCCCAGACATTGCTTGTAGGAATGTCTCAAACAACCACTGAAATGATACTACAGTTTCATCGTACAATAATGCCGCACCAAATATCATTATCTCCATAAATTGGTTGAATCCAATCGAAATGCCTAAGGGTCGGTACTCCTTGTTTGTTCGAAATATTGTGTCAAATGTGACAACATCCCTAAAGTGACCATAATCAATAATCATCCCTGGATCAGCCTAAAAAATATTTGTTATGCGCTCTTCGACATCCAATTGGACTCCATAATAATATGATGGATTCTTAGCTGCTTCTGCTTGGAAATATTGCAACAAACTACCCGCTTCACCGTATTTCAAGTCTTGCTGCCTCATTTTTCGAATGTAATTTTTTTGATCTTGATGAGTGAACCCTAAGCTTTCTCTCCCACCTGCTTGGGTACTCAAAAGCTCGTAGGACGCCTTAAGTGATATCCCACAATCTTCAGCAATATCAACATCGATGCCTTGAACTACAATAACTTTTCGTTGGGATGACATCATATGTATACATTCCGCCAAGTGCAAAATGTGATTGTGTTGGTCTTCCCATTTAACAACAACAAATTTTTCAATATCTCTTTTGAGGGATATGCACATGTAAGCGGGGCAATTTGTTCAAGCATCTGCCCGAACCTTTGTTGTTTTCCAATCCCTTTGATCTTTACTCCTCTGTCTCTGTTTACAACAAACGTATTTTCTATAAATTAATACACCATCCTTCAGGCTCTTGTTGTGATAAGTTTTTCTCACACTGAATCCCACAGTTCTACTATAATTGTTGTAGAACCTATAAACATCTTCTTCCGAGTCAAATTGCATTCCCATACATGGAGTATTGTCTGTTTTATCAATCTCAACGCATTTCATCTCCACTATAGAGTAGGTCTCCTATATTAAGTAAACAGTTACACAAATTAAATATAAGATCAAAAACTCAGTTTTAGTAAATTAAATATAAAATCTTATGTATCAAAGCCTATATAACTCAGTTTCAACAAAGCCTAAAACACCAACATCCATATATAAAATAATCAAATATACTCACAAAGATGTAATAGAAAGAATGATGGTAGTCTCATAATTATATCAAGATTCAATAGGAAATTTTTTAAAAAAATTATGAATTTGATGAATTGGAATTTCATAAAAAAAAAGCATATTTGATCTTGGAATTTATGAACTTTTCTGCTTCTATGGTTTCTGGAATTTGATGAATCTAATTGTTAAACCGTATTTGAACAAAATGTAAAGGAGAGTTTAAAGCATGTACATCAGTTCTATTGATTCTCCATATGATAAATGAGAGAGAATGATCTAAAATTGAAGAATTAATTGCATTACCAACTGTAGAGGCTATAAAAGAAGTTTTCAATTCTTAGTTGTTTCATGTATTTAGTGTTCCACGATGCTAACTATTGACCTATGAGTAGTCAATTTGAGTTATTTTGGTGATTAATTCTAATTTTTATTGAATCTTTTAAGTCTTTTCCTATAAATAAAGCGTTGCTGAGTATTTTCATCTACACATCATGGATAATCGAATATTCTATAAAAGATGATGTGGTTCTTTCTAGTCTTTAGCTGGATCATTTACATGAAAAGTGTTGTTGAATATTCTCCTCTGCACGTTATGAATGAGTGAATATTCTGTAAAACATCATGTCGTTCTTGCTATTCAACTGGATTACTTACTTGAAGCAAATTCTTTACCTGGATTTGTAGAAATTTTAGTTAGACCTCTGTTGTTTTTACTTATATGTCAAAGTTGATAATGTGATCCAATTGCAGCTGAAGCAAGAGCTTCTTAATGTGCTTATTGCTTCTGTTGCTTAATAGAGTTCAGATTTAGAATTCTGACGGGGATGCACTGATG